GGTAAGTTGAAGTTGAGAGCAGAGAAGGGGATATAAATCAGGGTGTTATAAAAGTATACAACTTCCTTGGAGGTTGCAGCTGAGGTCAGGGCTTGCAAACTACCCAACATCTTTCGCAGGCATGATGGTTCAGATCAGATTCTGACTTTTGGATTTTTCTATGAAAACATTCCTCCAACAAACTCTTAACGTCACTTATTTCTTCTTTTTATGATTCTAGCTGTGCTCCCTCCTCACGCGCTCTATTCGCTTGCCTCGTTCTTTTCCTTCTTGAAATTAAGCACTATAGTAATTGCCTAGATCAAACATCTTTATAAAAGATTCCAATGCAATTCTAGATTTTCATTTGACTTCAGGTTTTATTTGGCATATCTTGTTTATGAGTTTGATTTTTTGTTACCCAGTACATGTCTTTATTGAACTTCCTAAATCTGATACGTTTCAAGGTGCGGCACCTCACCTTTCTTAATACCCTCACATTATTTTTAGATGCTTCTATGAAGCGGCCGCAAATAGTGCCTTCTGCTCCACCACCAGAAGCGTACTATCTACCAGCACTTCCGCCTCCAAAGCAACCACCTCCACGATTTCCTGGACCCACTAACCCTTTGCCACCACCATGCTGGCAACCATCACCTTCATCCATACATCTGCTCTACCCTAGTAATAGCCCAGAAAGTCATGAGCTCAATTACGAAGAGATAAATGATAAGACTCCTGGAAACCCTGAGAAAACCTCACGATTCAATGTGAAACCCGATAAATACAAAAAGAAGCACAATCCACAATTGCACACGCAAAGGTGTTCAGTGTTGTTTTATGATTCTTTATGGATGATCCTAAATTTGCAGCTATGACATGTTCTTTGCAGAGGATGCACTGATGTCGCCTGCTGTTTCATCTTCCTTCTTTTCACAATTGGATGGGGAGTGGTAGCAGCGATTGGTGAGTAGTTTTAGACCGGTTGATGTCGACAATTTTTAAGGGCTACGCGGTTTCCAGAGGTCAATAGTGCCTCGGCGAGGACTACAAAAGACAATTGATTAGCTGGGTTGGTTAGGGACAATATTTGAGATATTAATTAGAATTCTTTTATTTATCCTATAACCTTTAAGCGATATTCTTCACTTTTTCTCCAACTGCAGCCTTCTGCCACTTTTTGCTTCATTCAGACACAATAGACTTGAGAAGCAAGACTTGCATAAAATTAGACACACATAAAAGGCAACAAGACTCTTTCTTTAATCTACGAAGCCGATCAGAAGCTTCAAAACTTCCCGAGACAAACTTTTAATATTTTTAAATTTAATTCGTTAGATTTTTTTCAAAAAAAGGACGAAGATTTTGTTATGATAAATCTTAATCCCAATAGTGAACAATAGGCTCATAACCTCTACAAAAAAAACGTTCCACATAAAAATCCGTAGCGATGGAACGATCCGTCGCAAAGCGTCGCATCGTCATAACTTCTTGCAAAACAGATATTTTTCAATAGGAGAAGCGGTGTTAAACTCAGCTCGTCGAGACGAATCTTTAGTGTGAATACGACAGCATCATCTGAGGTTTACGATAGGCCCACGGTAGCAGGTCAACACCGCGAATCTGTTTAAAACTTCGCCTAGGAGGGTTGTCTGCTACGCCGATTATGAAAACTCATGTGTTTCTTACATAGCACCTACTGTAAAGATGTAAATGTACGTTACGAGGTCACCGTCGCGACTCCGCGTGATAATTCGCCTAGAGAGATTATTTTATATGCTGGTCATGAAAAAGCTATCCAGATGTCATAGTCACGCCTTATCGTAAAGATACGGTAGGACAATACCGCGGCTATACGATGGGAGATCAATACCGCGGATCCGCGCAAAATCTCCGCCTGGAGTGAATGGACCAGAACGTTATTATTTATCGAGCTGGCGCTTCACTGTAGAGATACAGATTGTAGCACTACCCTTTCACGAAGCAAATTTATCACAGGTAACCTTGAATCCTTTTCTCGTATCTTTGAACGACCTTTCCGTAGCGATCAGAGGCACTATATGGTGGATTTTTAGCTGAACTACAGCATCAAAGTTCTTCTATGAACGCCCAATAGGCAAAGTTCCAACGAAATCTAAAGTTTTGACAATATGGATGAAGAACTGTTGCATACTACTGCACAGAGCATATGTGTGACGTCATCGATCGCTGATCACGAAATACATATCCACTTTGCACGATAATCCCTGCTGTAATTTTAAACCTGTTAGATGACAAATACTTGCTTATTCATACCTTTATTGCTTATTCATACCTTTTTTCGTCTATAGCAAACAATGAGTTAGCCAGTTTCATTACATCCCTGTGTCATCAGTGCAGCGCTTTTGAAGTATTCTTCACAATACTGTGGAACAGCGACTCAGTAAGGCTGACACTTTTCTATGACAACTGAGTCCACAAGATATCATTTGCTGAGATTAACTGTCAGGTGCTGAGCATTATATTTAGGCGAGACCACTTGACGAACGCGCTGGATGTGAATCTTTCCGCAATCTTGAGGCTTTTTAGCTGAAAAAAATGAGTATAAGTTATTTATATAGGATCAACCAACTTCTGCACTGTTTGAAGCGCTCAAAAAGCTCGTTGCGCTTCAGAGCATTTACTTCGCATTGCAAAGTAGCACGACAAAGTTCAACTACTGCATCTTTAAACAAGGGCAATTTGTTAGCATTACCATAATGATCGTCTCTTCAAACCTTATGGTTGTTTAAAAAAAAGAATCGTACCTGCTGTAATGAACATAATGCAAAATTGTTTAGACCATCAAATAAATTGCTGTAGCTCTCTTAAAGTACTAACATATGACAAATTACAACTATAGCAAATCGTTTCATTTCTCTTACAGAAACAGCATGATATTGATAATGGATACGATTGCCTGACGAACAAAAGTTATTTTATTGTAGACGGATAACCATGATTTGAAGGCGAAACTCGTAAACATGTTTCAAGATTGGCTTCAAATTGTTAAATGACAAATAATTAAAAAAAGGTCTATCTTAACCCACGGTTTTTTAATTAAAATTACTACCTTATCATCGAATCGACGTTTGTTCTTTAACAAATTTCAGGTTACAGCAGAGATTATCGTGTAAAATGGATATGTAATTCGTGATCGGCGCGTTAATTAAATCCAATAGATCACTTTTCAGGTGGACCGGTGACATTGACCTCTCTAAAATACACCAACCGTAATTCTACAATGGGCTCTACCGTGCAAACTGAAACATCAGCACCAAATTAACGAACTTGACAAACTTTTGGGAACGAGATTCTGAAACAAGAAAATTAAATATATTCGACCAGTGACGTCCCCTATTATACCCTGTGCAGGAGATGCAATACTTCTTCCGATTGCCTATTGGGTTTTTATAGAAGTACTCTGCTGCTGTAGTTTAGCTAAATGATCGCTAAGGAAGTCGTTTAAAGATTCAAGTAAAGGATTTTAAGGTAGCCTATGATAAATTCGCTTTGTAAAAAGGTAGTTTTACAATCGATATCTCTATAGTGAGGCGCCATTTGATAATTATTAACTTTCTGGTCGGCATATCAGGTGACCCGAGCAGACGGAGATTTGGGCAGATTCGTGGTATTGTTCTCCCATCGTATAGTATTGATCTACCGTACCTTTACGATAAGGTGTGATATGACAAATGGATAGCTTTTTTAAGATCAGCACATAAAGAAATCTCTCTAGGCGAAATTTCACGCGGAGTTGCGGGTGACCTCCTAGCGTAAACCTATCAAATCTTTAGTAGGTCGCTACCGTGAGACATGGATTCATAATAAGCGTACCAGAACCCTCCTAGGAAGTTTTAGA